CCCAGAAGACGGAAATCTTCATACTCTGATGACGGAGGCAGTATGACCTCTGAAACGTTGGTTAACATCGACCAGACTACACAGCGCAACAACCCAGAAGACAGAAATCTTCATACTCTGATGACGGAGGCAGTATGACCTCTGAAACGTTGGTTAATATCGACCAGACTACACAGCGCAACAACCCAGAAGATGGAAATCTTCATACTCACCGCTGTGAGAACCTCAAGTCTTACAGATGAATTTCTATTATTACTACAGGATGTTTAAAAATATATGCCAGAGAATTTTATCTGGTGAACAGTGACTCGGTCGATGGAAATAAACTACAGCAAATATGTTTATTTTAATACGACTGTTTCATAAAAATGATAATATACTTGAATAAATATCAACCACAGGATTCCTGAAAATATATTTTTAAAAATCCCGCACATAGTAAGTCACAGACTAATGGAGAGGAAAGATTTTGTAGCTGTAGAAGAACCGGTCTCAGATGGGAGGGTATCATCAGATGATCTTCGACAAACAACTGAAGCTGTGACCTTTGAACTAGCTCACGGTAGGAGGTGAATGACAGAAATCTGTGAACACGATAATGAACCTTGAAGTTCAATAACCTTCAAAGGCAAGGAATTAATTATTGATGGGTTGAGTGACCTTGCAACACGGAGTGAGCGGATTTGTTTGTTTGCTTGTTGGGTTCCTGGTTGGTTAGTTTTTAGGTCAGCCAAACAAAAGTTACTGTAATTTCAAAAACGACTCTCGAGCTTTTAAAACCTCACAAAGGGTTACTAAAATATAAGTAATTAAGAACTTATTTTCATCGCATTTAGTAATATCTAAACAAAATAAAACTTGGGATCGAAATTGGTTTTTGAGATGAGTAATACAAGGAAAGTGACAACATGCTAGACCAGGCGTATTCGGAGAAACATGATGGATGTTGTCATATTCAAATTTTTATAAGTAGTGGCTCGTGGAGTAATAATATTTGGGGCCAATGCTCTGCAGTGTCGCCAAATTACAGGGGACTTCCGATGTCAACACTCAAGATCCACACTTTCATAAAATAATATCACTGTGGGCATGCGCGCAACGCAATGTTATCTACAGATCACATCAATAACACCAATCTGGCTACAGGCTGTCACACACACTGATTTATGAGAAATTTATAAACACCTCCTGCCCTCACAATTCGCACTTACAATTTCTCCAGTATTCGTCGGGCTGTGTATCCGTGCGGTTGCGAGATGGAACGTCAATACACAAACGAGTTTCTTTTGTCGGTTAATTGATAACACAAGGATTGAATGTAGCTCAGATTACAGAAATTAAATAAGTTTAAATAATAAACAGACCTCAAACGAAGATAAAAGAAAAGAATAGTGAGTATTATATTAGTGTGTAATCCGGAATAAAACAGACCTCAAACGAAGATAAAAGAAGAGTGAGTATTATATTAGTGTGTAACCCGGAATTAACAGATAAATTAGATAAAGAAATTTCTTACAAAGCTTATACTTGAAAGATCAAGGTGCAGATAATATTAAAGTGGATTTAATTTGTTGAAAATTTATTCAACGACAATGGGGTTTTGGTTCTAGTAAAAACCATTTTTTCCCCCCAAAACACGAAATTAGTTTGTCTTTTTTTTCATTGATAAATAAATAGTTGGTTGGTTGATGGCCAATTCGTCATTTTCTAAACCTGTCTGTAACTGAATTTAGTTTCGCTGATGTCTGATTCTGCCAGTCACTTGGTGTAAGTAGGATTAGAGGTTCTCACGGCTGTCTTCTGGGTTGTAGCGCCGTGTAGACTGGTAGACGTTTACAAACGTTTCAGAGGTACTTGCTGCCTCTATCATCAGGGCGATCTGATGATATAAGCAGCGAAGACCACTGATAAGTTGGCAAACTTCTACCAGACTACACGGCGCTACAACCCAGAAAGTACCTATCTTAGGTACTTAGCTGGCTGCTTCGTTAGTTAATTAGTTCGCCCACAAGCAGTATATTAAACTGGAGTGCTAACCACTATACAGAAAAGTAGGTTTTAAATTTCACAAGTACGTCACATGTACTAACGTGTCTTGTGATATTTCAGGAAGACTCTCTACAATGGATGTAAATACCTGCATGTCTATGAAACCTGAAGTAAGTATCTTTGCTTTTGAAAGCGTTTAAAATAATAAGAAATATAATAATTCTGTACATAAGCTACTACTTCCTTATTTAAATAACCTTAAATTCAAACATATTCATTTTAATGAATTTTAAAAAATTAATACCAAATATTCGGTACGCCTAACAAATTTGTAACACGACGTAGATACGTCCAGATGAAACTGATAACATAAACACTTAACTTCTTTCAACAATATTTAATCCCTATTGTATTTTAATATTTTTCTTCATAAAATCAGTTTATAACATCTATTAAAGTGTGTATACATTTGTTTGGGCCCCTCTGTATGTGTATATACAACGCCTTTTAATAATAATGGTTTTTAATTCGTTGAAAAGGACTTTGAAATTTTACTCGTTTCTTTCTCCTAACATAGAATGAGACGTATGGCCTGACAGTCCTGTGGGAAGAGAGCGAAGACCTGAAAGTCCTTCCCGAAGGAGAACGGATTGCACTTCTTACAGTGGCAATTGTCCTTTGCAGCTTCTGCGTAGTAGGAAACTGTGCAGCCATCTTTACTGTATTTCGCAGGTAAATATACTTAATATATTTTTACATATTTTAAAAAAATAACAAAAAACTGACCCCCCCCCCCCCCCCCAAAGAACAAATTAAATCACCTCCAATTGTAATTTGTATTTCAATCAAAATAACAGCGCAGTCTCTGTCAAGACAGTCGGCAAACGGGCTGATAATTGAATCCGTCACCTACCGGGCGTTACCAAAAGACCCACGCCAATAATTACTGTCATTCGTGATAAATGTACAGCCTCTTCAAAATAAAACATCTCCTTCAATGTATTTTCATCAAAATAAACACCCGACTGCACATAAAATCAAGAGCGTAAATCTATCTCTGCTCCAAAACAAACACTATTAGACATTGTTCAGTCTACTGTAAAATAAATTACAATTTATTCTAAATATAATTTCGGACACATCAACCAGGACCATGTTCCTTGCCTCACACTTTTTCTAAATTGGTATTCGTGATTCTCACGAAATATTAACGCATTAAAAGATATTTAACGAGAGTCACAGATTACTCGTAACAATATTTTATCCCATATCTCGTTACAGAAATATATTTTACTATAAAACATCCCATCAAGAATAACTTGAAAATCTTACTACAAAAAAAACACTTTCATTGTAAAGTGTAACAAAGTAGCGTATAACAATTAAAATCGCCACTTATCTCTGCTTATTACGAAACCAGATGATTGTTTACCATGGCCATGGATAAATTATCATATATTTATTTAGTGTTCTGTCTGACGACAGGTCCATATGAACAGGATCCTTCCATCCTTTTCTCGGACTGGGACCTGTTCATATACGTTCTTGGCAGATGATCCAGAAGTGGTTTGCCATTGCCTTCTTCTGTGTGTGAATGGAGTAATTGTTGGGATGCCACGGAGGAAAACTCCGTGTTGCCTAGACCACGGCCTTGCCCAACACAAGTTATAAATTCGGGCACCGCCGGGAATCGAACCCGAGACCCCAGGATTACAAGGCCAGCGTTCTAACCGCTAGACCACCTCATCTTATTATTATTTAGTGTTCTGTCCGACGACAGGTCCATATGAACAGGATCCTTCCATCCTTTTCTCGGACTGGGACCTGTTCATATACGTTCTTGGCAGATGATCCAGAAGTGGTTTGCCATTGCCTTCTTCTGTGTGTGAATGGAGTAATTGTTGGGATGCCACGGAGGAAAACTCCGTGTTGCCTAGACCACGGCCTTGCCCAACACAAGTTATAAATTCGGGCACCGCCGGGAATCGAACCCGAGACCCCAGGATTACAAGGCCAGCGTTCTAACCGCTAGACCACCTCATCTTATTATTATTTAGTGTTCTGTCCGACGACAGGTCCATATGAACAGGATCCTTCCATCCTTTTCTCGGACTGGGACCTGTTCATATACGTTCTTGGCAGATGATCCAGAAGTGGTTTGCCATTGCCTTCTTCTGTGTGTGAATGGAGTAATTGTTGGGATGCCACGGAGGAAAACTCCGTGTTGCCTAGACCACGGCCTTGCCCAACACAAGTTATAAATTCGGGCACCGCCGGGAATCGAACCCGAGACCCCAGGATTACAAGGCCAGCGTTCTAACCGCTAGACCACCTCATCTTATTATTATTTAGTGTTCTGTCCGACGACAGGTCCATATGAACAGGATCCTTCCATCCTTTTCTCGGACTGGGACCTGTTCATATACGTTCTTGGCAGATGATCCAGAAGTGGTTTGCCATTGCCTTCTTCTGTGTGTGAATGGAGTAATTGTTGGGATGCCACGGAGGAAAACTCCGTGTTGCCTAGACCACGGCCTTGCCCAACACAAGTTATAAATTCGGGCACCGCCGGGAATCGAACCCGAGACCCCAGGATTACAAGGCCAGCGTTCTAACCGCTAGACCACCTCATCTTATTTTAACCAAATTAAAGACGTAATTATAAGAAACGGAGGCCTTTATAAAACACGACAGGGGTGTCAATCTCTGCTTATTTTCATTTGGAAACTAGACAACTCTGTTCCATTCTCACAGGAAACTCCGTTTGCTGTACAAGTGCTGTCTCGTCTCTCTGGCGCTCAGTGATTTACTGCTAGGCCTATCCTACTCAGCCACCTACATTCCAAAGTTCGTCCAGAAATATTCCAATGCTTGGGTACGTACACGTGAGATTATCCGATTATGAAGACAATTAAGGACTCAGTAGCCTATCGGTATTGGTTTATTTTATTTACTTATATTTTGTTCATTTATTTAATGACACTGTCAGTAACTCTCATTAAAAAGCGGGAAGACTGTATTCTAAGCCTAGCTGTAAAAGGGTTCTGCTGGCTACAAAAATCATTTTAATTGTTTAAAAAATTCATTTCTATAAAGCCTTATCTCCTTTTCTATTATTAATATTTGTATCTTCATTAGCTATTTATTTTTAATTTGTCACGTATTATTTATTTCAATAAAATTATTTTTCTGTAGATTCAATCACGTTGAGGAAAAATGTGGAATAATGATACGGATTTAAAATTAGATAATTGTACGTAAACCATGTAATTAAGTGAACTAGTTAAATGAACATTTGACACGGAAAGAACTAATCGAATTTCAGTACAGTCAGTGTCGCCAACTATCTGTTGCTTAGGCATTGGGTGAAGGCATGTGCTCCTTTCAACCCCTGTTGATGGCGATGTGTCTGTTAATAAACTCGATGACAATTTCCTGCATCGCCTTGGATCGTTACCAGGCTGTGAGGGGTGGCGTTAAGAAGAGGTGGGATCCTAACCTGTGGATCTGCCTGCTTCTTATGCTGCTGATCTGGTCTGCGTGTGCAGGTAAGCCGAGATGCGGGTTGGAGGCACTGTCATAAATACAGAGTGTCCCAAAAATATCAGTAATTTTGGTGGTCGCTTGTCAATAAGATGTTAATCGGTGTCAACTGCGCCACGAAGCTAACGGTGGTCATTTTGAACACCTACGTCAGATTCGCTAATTCACTAAGTGCCAATGCTGACGAATATAATGGTTTAGAATGTCTTTATTTAAATCCACGGAATATGTGTATGCATCTTTTCGGGACTTTCTGTATAATGCGCAGGTTTTACATTTCAAAGCGCCTAGCGAGAAATTTGGCAAGCATTTAAACAAATAACAATCTTTTCGGTGGTAGCTTATATTAAAAAATCTACAGAATTTTTGTGAAGTGTTATAAAAATATTTTTAGTTTATTTAACGACGTTGTCAGTAATTCAGCGTCGAATGTAAAGATGAATAATTAACTGGAAAGGGTATGGAACGAATCGGTCGTGGCCTACTTTAAAGTACTATAACGGCATTTGAATGGAAGGACCGAGGAAAAATTACGAAAAACCTCAATCAGTCGCTCTACGGGCCGAGATTTGAACCAGGGGCTACTGAATACAAAGCGGGAGTGATAACTACTTTACCACGACTTTCGGAATTCAGAAAAGAAAGCAAATTATATTCGGAAAAATACGAAAGGCAGAGATCTTACAAAAGGAACTTGTGAATATGACAAGCAAATTAAACTGACCTTAAATTGAAACGTAAGAGCGTGGGAAAATTTATTTTTGTCATTATTTTCGTAATGTACCGTCGGGTTTTATAACAGCGGCGAATTTATGTGCTAAGTGACTGTTAAGTGCTCATGGAACACGCCCAACTAGTCAATAAATTCCCCGCTTTTTATAATAACCGAAGATTCATTACTGTGCTCATAAGGACCTAACAGTGGCCCCGATCTTGCGCTTGATAAATCCAATCCACACACCCAAACCCTCTGCCTCTAAGATCCATTTTAATATTATCCTCCCATCTACGGCTATGTCTCTTTGCTACACAATTTCCAACCAATATTCAGCAAGCATTTCTCCTACTTCTCTAAAGTTAAGTTTTATGTATCTTCCCCTTGGCGTTCATGTTTCCACAAGTGGTCTCTTATCTTGAGATTTACCTAGTACGAATTCCTAAGTCCGGGTGCCCCACCCAACCCGTTCTCATTTTTATTATCAGTGTTTTAATTTTGTTTCAGGTACTGCTACGCCAATGTTTTTCACGTACAATTACATAGGACCAATGCATGTGGTGACTGTCGACTGTGAAATCCTTCCCGATCCCCTGCATTTCTGTGTCGTACCTACAAAAGAATTCAAAAGCCAGTATTACATCTCAGTATACGCCCTCATCTTCCTTCCCCTGTTCGTCACATTCGTCGGATTCTACACTGTAGTCGCCTCATACGTCTGGAAACAGCGGATTCCCATCAGCAGACGTGCGCATGAGCAAACTTCAAACGCGACAGCTACTTCAGCTACAAACAAAACGTACACGAAAGCTAACACAAAGATGTCGCCCAGATACGTCTTTCAAAGTAACACAACTATCAACACGGGGTCAAGGAGCACGCTGGTAACTGACAGTGGCTCCGGAACGCCTTTAAATCGCAGAAGAGAACATTGCAGTGACGTACCTCAAAGAAAATCTCATGCCGAGCCGACCGTTCGTACAGTCCATACCAAACGTAAAGTGCGTACCTTCAAAGTAATTATGGTTCTCATTGTCACTTGTTTCATAGGTCGTGTGCCTAGTTGGAGCTTCAACGTTGCCCAGTCTGACCCAGACATTAGACTGGACGACATGAAATGGTGGCTATTGCAGTTCTGGTTCACCATAATGAGTCTGTTTTCAACAGCACTGAATCCATTCTTGTATTGCTTCATGAATGAGACATTGGATTTTATACAGGCATTCTTTACGTTCATCGGGAGTATTTTTTGCTATTGTTGCATTTCTTTGAAAACAGAAACGAAAATAGATGTTAAAAAAGACAGTCAAGAGATTGTAGATGAACAGAAAAACCAGATTAGATCGATTTCCATTGTTCCTCGGGGTCCTTATTTAAATAACGAAGAAAATAGACTGGGTGCAGTTGCGATATCTGTTGAAGTCAATCATATTTAACCATTTATACAAAAAAATAGTTATTCTATTAGAACCTGCAGACCCAGATCCATGGCAACAAACGTTGCGTTATTTGGGTAACGTAAATGTAAATACAAAATATCAAGTGTATTTTAAAGAAATCGTATGTGACAATGAGAACTGGATTCGCCCGGCTTACCGTATGGATCAGTGGTGTTATTTTGTAAACATGGCTATGAACATTAAGGTGAATGACGTTAAAACAGTCTGGAAATATATTTAAACAAACACATGTTCCGAATATGCCTGTCTTGTTGCGCCATATAGTCTGGTGGAAGTTTACCAACTTTTGGAGATGACTGCTACGTCTTAAACGTCGGATACCTTCTACCAGGCTACAAGGTATAACACTCGTAGGACAGTCATCTTACTATTCATCGCCGTGTATAACCTAAAATCTCAATTCATTTTACGTTTCAGGCTACAAGGTATAACACTCGTAGGAGAGTCATCTTATTATTCATCGCCGTGTATAATCTAAAATCTCAATTCATTTTACGTTATAAAATAACAAAAATAATTAATCGCACACATAAAATTGTACATTCCATTACAACTTACAAGTCTAATGTAATGGACGTAAGAACGTCATCAGAATTATTTGTTAATGCTACTAGACACAGATTCCTCCCACCCTTTCGACCACCATCTTCGTGAACTGCACCGAAAACAATAACATCAAACGGGAGTTGTATACTTTGCCTGCCAGGTAAACGTCTAGTATTAAATGGGGCATGTTTTTGAAAGTGCCCTTTCTCTACAACATATCAAACAAATATTTATTATATTAATCCTTTGAAGCCGGAGTTAAATTTAAGCATTCAGTCCGTACCGCGAAGAAAACACCACACTTCACCATTACAAAAATCAATATCTTAACGCTGTTTAAGGAAATAATCGCTGTTTGCACTGAGAATCATATTAAACCAGCATGTGAACAATACAAGTTCCTGGTTGTTCACAAAAGTGGTATATACTGTTACCACTTGACACTGGAGACACTGAGGGGGGGGGAGGTAGTTAATCCACCAGCCATATTCATCTGATTACACGTTGAAATTACAAGTATTACGTACATTGCAAATACATTTTCTTCATCAGCACTATACAAATGCAACATTTTTCCACTGCATAGATTACGTATGTATGTATCTCTTACCTTAACGCAGCTAACGCCCGCCAGTGGGTTTCATGTTAGCATAGAGTGGAGCAGCTTGACCCACCATGTCAGTTCAGTTTGTAGATTAATATCTTACGCCATCCGGTCTAAAGTGTAGCAGATTCACAAAACTAATTACTGCAACAGACACCAGTGATCACTATTTCACAGTTTTTAACACTAATAAACCGTCACTTTCGTCACAAATCTCACAATTACAGGAAAGATTCACACTTTTCATTGCTGTCGCAGGTTACTCGCGCGGAAAGGAAGTTTGGCAGGAACTTCCGGTTTGATGCAATCGTCAAAATTCGGCTGTCACCTTCGGAAAAATCCCGAATGCAATATGCTTGTAACTTATCCTCGCTGCAGGGCCTACCTACTCCTACTATTCTGTTGATCTCAGAAACAACGATTCGCTCGCTGTCATCTGTATATCTGTGAATTAGCGTTCCGTTGTCCTTGGAGTTAAGAGTAACTCAAAGACACGTCGCTTCCGAAATGACTGTGGTTCGGTTCCCAGTCAGAGCATTGGACATTTTTTTTTGTTAACGTAACGTGTTAAATAACTCTTCAAGTTCGCCGGCTATTACTGAAAAGTAAATTAGAGTTGCATTCACACTAATTTCTTTAAAAATGTATTAATAATAATCATACACTGCTGTTGCAGGGTAAGCCTAATATAATATAAAAATTATCTCTTAAAATCCACATAAATACTTTAGTATTCAGTTATTCAAGAAATTCTGTGTTTTACGGAATCAGAAAGTTTATCGGTATGTTACAAAATACAACCACAGTATTGCTTGAGTACTTTAAATTATATCTACTATTTGTAATCTGAGACTAGGTCTTCCAAATAATCTCTTTCCTGTATGTCCATCATGCGTGCTATACGTCCTATATATCTGAGACATTAGTGCTCATTTCTTAGTAAATAATGAGCAATGTGACTGAATATGATAGTAATGAATAGATGTAAGATTGTTTATATTATATTTTTATTTATATTGTAACGAAAAATGTCTGTCAGAAGTTTTAAGGGATGTGTCCTGTTTTGTGATGATCGTTGGGTTGAAATATTACTAAGGAAAATCGCACGGATCCATGTTAATGTTATCTATTTGAAATATTTTTACAATTTAGCAGTCATATCTACTATCTTCGAGAAATTAAAGAAAACCACCTGAAGATGACCAATCAAGGACGAAACATGTAGTGGTTATTAATAAACATTGAAACTAAAATAAAAAATTGTTGTGTAGACGGGACTGCCAATCTAACGACTCTCAAAAGATTTGATTAATTCTGACTTCTTTCGAAGTTTTTAATATTATCAAAAATATGAGAGTTTCCGGTTCAATTAATCAATATCTTTCTTGAAATTTTGTCTTTGGTACAAACATAGTACCAGCTTTGTGTATACTGTTTTAATTATGTAAATATCCATTTCTAAAATTAGTTTCTGTTTTCCACAGTAATGAATTTATTCTGTTGTTCAGAGTTTTAAAATGTAATGTTTTAAATAAACAGCTTCAGTTTAACGTTATAATACATGCTCTGTTCCAATGTTTTTCGAACATTCTGGTGTTACAGACCCCCAGGGGTCCGCAGACCCCCTGTTCAGTAATACATGCTCTGTTCCAGTGTTTTTCGAACATTCTGGTGTTACAGACTGCTCTGTTCAACTTATGTCGGAATAGTCGACATCTTGTCCTTTAACCAAATATCGCATTCAAAAAGGGTCTTCTGGACGAGCTCCGTCATTTTGGCTCCGGATGAGAACAGAGGTTCTGGCTTCAGGATTTCGATGGCCCTCAGCAACAATTCTTTTGCTTCCAGGGCCCTGCGGATAGTCTCCCGGGCAGATACGACAGGTGGCTCCTTCTCAAGGTCACGACGGGCGAGATAAAACTCTGCACAGTGAAGTTCCCTCAGAAGTACTGAGGAAAAGAGCGCCAGTCTCGTGGCGCCTGGGTCTAGGGTGTCTGTTATGGCGAGCAGTTCCCGGCACATGCCTGGATAAAACAATGAAACTACTTCAGTTTCGTGCCCGGAAGAGTAGCCGACACGCATCCTGTCTTAGAACTCGGTTACGGACAGGACAATTCTGACCCTGTGAATTTATCCCGTTCAAATTCTGACAATGGATTGACAATTTCAACTTGGGTTTCCGTGGACTTTCTCAGTCACTCTAGACGATTACCCGGAAAAGTACTTACAATACGCCAAGTTTGTTACATGTCCCGCCAATTTCAAATGGTTCTATGAACCTCTCCAGACCTTCTCTCCTGGAGTAGGCTGTAGTGGTATACTGAGTAGCATTCCGTAAAACCTCTTATCTGGATTTGATTTGGAGACTGGCTATCCTTTCCCGATTTTCTTAAGCTCCTGTACCCGAATGCCAGGACAGTCCCCAAGTAGACTAAGGTCTATATCTTCCACAAGGGATAATTTACATTTCACCGTTCAAAAGAAATCGATGCATACCATTAGAAGCTGCAGAAGGCATCGTTAGATAAACAAAATACAGATCTAATAGGCCTACAAAAACATCGTTAAATGAGCAAAAGTCGGTCTTGGAAATGAAGTTTCCTTGTAGTAGAGTAAGGAGGCGATAGCACGTACCGGCTTTCCTCTTCAGCTGCTGGTCGCTCAGCTGACTGATCTGGTATCCCTGTTGGTGACCATACAGTTGAACCAGAGTGTGTTTGACGGAGTATAGGTGATAATGGTGGGGGTGCAGAAACATGGACAGCTTTGTCAGAAGTTCCTCCAGTTGCGTCACTGTTGGACTTCCCTGCGAACAACACAACTCAGATTCTAGTAACTAACCCTAGGCACGGAGCAGGGTCCTTGAGAGACTAATAGTACGTCCAGTTAGTCACAAACAACCCAGCCTTTCGTGAACCCCGAAAGGTTCATTACAGTGCACACAAAACCCCTCCGTCGATCCCTAATTGAGTCCACATCCTCCAACATTTTTTCCATAAGACCTATTTTAATATTATCCTCAATCTATATGTAGGTATTCCATGTGGTCTCTTGCCTTCAGGCTTTTCAACCAAAATGTTTTATGAACGTCTTATTTCCTCCATACATGCTATATGTCCTTCCCATCTCATCCTCCTTGATTTGATTGCAGCAAAGTGTTCCCTAGTTTGAATCCCGCATGGGCTATTTTCCGAATCGTACGAAACCCATAGACAAAAAATATATATTTATTCATTATTAAAATAAATGGCACATTACCACTAAGCCTTAAAGAATTAAAAATATTCATAGCACCAGGAAATGTTTCGAATGAATTGTCAATGAACTTGATGCTAAGAGAAATTTATTCCGATACCCACTGCCTGGATAGTGTCCACCTCCTCTCCGATCCTTGATACTAGGTCAGACACTTCTGATGAAGTCATCACAATAGGACAGCGATCGCAGCGCCAGTCTGAATTGTCATCCAATGGCGAAATTGGCAACTGTGTCCCTCCACATGAACCATCGTCTCTGTAAACAGGATGATGTAGCTCAGGTGGAGCGGGGTTTAAGGAAATCTTATTTGACAAAATCGAAAAATAATATTAAACTATATCTGAGGGCAATAAGGGTTGAGTTGGTGGAATAGATTTAAAGTTCAGGACTTACGAGAATAGATTAACGAATCTTGGAATTACATAAAAACGAGAATTTTATCTTAACTTTTCATAAGTGACTTCGCATCGAGTAGTTAATTAATTAAAATAACGCATTAAAGCGGACATAAAAGCAGAGAGGTGGTTCATGAAAATGTATGCTCTGTGCCATAAATGTCACTATTAAAGACACAGGCGTTGTCCAACATTGGTGTCTGGCACTGGCGTTGTACTTACGCGTCGGAGGTCCCATCTGAGAGGGCATGCAGCCCCAGGCACCGCAAGCCGCTGATGTTTGTACCCAGCTCCGTGGGGTCGCTACATCTCTTGCACCGGCAGCTGAAGTACTTGGTGGCCAAAAGGTGGTCCCTGCGAGCCTGTGTACCCCACAGCGCATGCGTGTACATCGTCGCGATGTGCTCGCCCCTGAATTCAACGTAAAATTAATCCAAATGCTTAATCTCAGAAATTACTGAACGAATCTGAACAAAATTTTGGCGTTGAAAAGGAAAGATACGCCGAAACGTATACATTTACGTTAGGTTTGTTTAAATGTTATCAAATCTTCTAAAAATAACTAATCGTGTGAAAGCTAATAGCGGTGTAACTTAAAATAGGCCCATAGACCTCATAAAGATTTATAACTCATATTCATAATATTTTTAGGTGCGTTCTCAGCTGAAAGTTGTAAAAATGTCTCTGTTAGCTTCACTATGTCATATATGATGTCAGTCATAGAGGTACGAGACATCCTACAAACATTTTGGGTATTGGGTATTGACCGCTCAAAACTCAGACTACCTTGGTGTTCTTCACAAAGGTTAATGGTAAAATTATGGTAAACACAGCAGAACTTTTACGCTACTAGCATGTCCAAATTTTTTTGACATGGGAAAATAACTTTTGATTCTGTGTCACGTAATATCATAAGAATGATCACTTTACAAAAATGTTTTATGTGTCTGTGATATTATTCATCGTCAGGATTCATGCGGGGTACAGAATCATAGATAATAAAATACTTTGATACTATGCATACTCAAATGGAGTACACGTATCTGCCCAGAGAGGAGGGGCAAGTCTCCCTGTACTCACTTCTGGATGTGCTGGGTGGCTGTTACAGTTATGCGGTACTGTTTGTATCCGGGGTTGATCTCGAAAGTGTGTCGAGTGTTTGGCAGACAATTGTGTTCAATCAGGTATACCGTGGGGTACAATGCCACAACCTCTGACCCCAGGGCAAGGCGGATGTCCAGTCCGTTCACATCCAGCACGCCACATATCCTGTGCAGAGTGTTCTGAGAACAGTTCTGCAAAACTGTTTCTCCACTCACGTCAACTGAAGGGAGATTCTGCAGGTAATTCTCCTGCAGGAAATTTACCACGCGATCTTGAATCTCCCTGAACAACCACAAGCATGACAAGTAAGTAAGCATTAAATAGGAAGCTTTTAGAAAGGTTTTATACTGCCTGATTTCATTCAAATGCTTATTTGATTTGTTTTGTTTTTATATTGTTATAACGACTTTTTAAACTCCAGAGACTACAAAGTTTAAAACGAAATAAAAAGGCAACTATGAATAATCAGTTGTTAAGAATATGGAAGGAGATAAAAAATTTGTGTCAGGATATTAGGTAAAACGACCTTTAGTCTCTAATTGGCCAATGTGTCAGGATATTAGGTAAAACGACCTTCATTATAACTGGCTATTCCTTTTAGTCTCTACTTGGCCGATTTTTTAAAATTCTTAATTTCATATATAAAGTTTCACAGTCGTTATGAATTAATAATTACTCTATGTAGTAGGACAGACGGTGATTCCCCTGTACCTGTAGGTATCAGTCCCAGGTCCTCTGTGCCTGAGATGTGCTTCCATCTGTAGGATCTGCTCCCACTTACGGGGGTTGCGTCGTTGAAACAGCAAACATCTGAGCGGCGTCACGGCGTCATAATGGTAGCCAGCAACGTCCTTTCTGGCCGCCGAAGCCAAGCTTTGTTTTGCCTGTAGGCGCAGTATTGAACACTCTGGGGCGTGAAGCTTGGGATCCGCGGGGCAGCTCGGCCCGCACCACGGCCATAGGCATTTGGGACACCTGTAATCGCTGTCGAACCGCGTAGGTGCGTGGCACCCCAGACAGAGGGGCTGCTCGGTATGTAGCTTGGGACCCACAAGCAGAGGCCCTTCGCTGATAATCACGTCCCCAGGGGACAGGTCACGTGAGGCCACGAGGTACTTCCCCAGCTCCGGCGACGTTCGGATCTAAAATCACGCAGATGAGTGTCGATTATAAAACATCGTGTATATTAATTTTGTTTTCACAGATAATGGACAATGGTAATATTTGTATAATGAAACAACCCAGTCGATTGTGTCCGAGACAAATTTTGAAAGCCTTATGGCGGTAGCTTCACCTCAAAATTAAAGTACGGAACCCTGGAAGGAAAATTTCGGTAACTAAAGAATCTGCTTACAAGTCAGAAAACACAGGAGTAACAGGCAAACTACACGCTTTTAATTGCCAAACCCATAAAGGCGACACTTACTTCGAAACATCTGCAGGCATTTTTGTGTTTCTTCCAATCCTGTTTCTGATGTTCCTTGCTGCAATAGGACGTCTGCCTGCAGGCACTGCACTTACGAGCAGCTGGGGCAGAACACACGACGCACTCATCCTCAGGCATCGCACTGAAAGATAAAGAAATATGGCGGTCACCCGCAATGACATGTTTAATGACGTGATTACCACTAACAATTTTACACAGGATTCACTGACAAAATACGCTGTTTCCTTATGTTTATGCCAATAACACAAATTTACAAAAAAATATGTAACTTGCGTCGAGGCAGGGCTGTCCAGGCCCTGTAAGCGATAATGATGAGTCGCCACCGATATCATTAATTTAACAATTTTAACTATACAGCCTGTGAACCAAAAACTCACATATTACATTACATTCACTACATACCCCACCTAAAAGAAACACTGCTCTCTTGTCTTTTAGAACATGTGTTACTCACCGAGTAATTTATATTTAGCGTTTTAGCTTATGTGTTATTTATCACGTATGCTTTGGTGATACAGCCAGTTCTACTCGCTACTGCTAACATAATAAATCATCTCAGTATCCTATCCTAACCTCCGAAATGTGCTGTCTTATTAATCTACGCATGTACAGGAAAGCGAAGAGTAGAAATGAAGACACACCTCTTAAATGTCTCATCAAATGACTGCTAGTACTGGACCATATCCCGTACACAAATTATTTAAAATAAAATGTATTGTACTTACAACTTATGTGGCACCGTGTAACGTGAATTCTTCGTTTAAATCTTGATGCAGAATCAGTTTGATGTCAATGGCTTGTTATAACCCGAGCTAGACACTTTACAACGCTCTCTGTGTTTGCGATAGGAACTTGTTTGGATATTTTTAACTTAGTCGAAAATAGACGTTAGCACTTAAACATTCACGAAGTAGAGGCCTGGTAAATTGTGACTGTATAATTCAAATCATGAATATAATATATTTGTGTGGAAGATCTATACCAAACTTCGCGTTGGCCTATTCCCTTCAGTTTATTCAATTTTGGAGCATAATAACATTCTTCATATATCATACTTATATGCTTTCGTAGAACTGAATTACAAAACGATTCATTTCTGATTTTACATGTAATTGATCTTAATGTTAATTTATTAATCACAGGTGTATTTTTCTTACATAAATATATTGACCCTGCATACACGGAAATTATGTTTTATTATATTATATTAAACATATATTCTATAGAAAACTCAAATAGAAGTTGTAAGGCGTAATGAAATATCCACTTCATGTCACACACAAACATTTTATCCGATGCGCCGATTTTACAAAAAATCACAAACGTGTAAGCTTATTTTAAATTCCGATCCGTGAAACCTCAGTCAGTGAGACAATGGGCTACTGGCTGGACAAGGGTTCGATTCTTTATTATTACCATGTCCAGGGGTCCAACAAGTCTTTTGTCCGATTGGTACTGTGAGCTCGTTCCCCGGGGGTAAAAACACTTCAACTTGATATCATCATTCATATATACAGAATTTGAGCTCCCCTGAAATGTGAGATAACTTCTACCAGACAGTAAATTTCAAACTCGCCGCCTTGAGATCCTAAAATCGCATCTATTTCATTAATATCCATCTAATTAATGTCTACTTTTTCCAAGTGGTTTTGCCTATTATGGTCCAAGAAATGAAATGTGCGTACGTCTTACTACTTTTATATTTCGAATTCGAAGAGACGCTCCTCTTCTGGAGGAGGTAGACAGACACAAAGCTGGGGTTACGATCCACTCTGTGTTCAGTTCTATAATAGAGTGGATGTAGGGCGCAACTATTTTTGTACCGGCACACAGTCGAGCCAATTCTAGTCTGTCAGAATTGGCCATCGTTTTGTTACAGCAAGCCGATTTAAATCTTAGCTCCGTCATCCACGCAGACTGTCGCTAAGAAGACTTATTACACTTTTCCAATGTTTTATTCTCTATTCTGCATCCTTCACTGGGTTTTCATCTTTTTTGTTGCTAAGACTTACAATAATTACAGATCTTACCTCTCATTATGCATTCATTTTGTTCAGGGAACGGATGCAATGTTTTACGCATGTGGTGTATGGTACAAGCCACACTCATGTGTAATGTGTGTGGCTACTAGCCAGGAGACAGTCAAGATAATTCTGATTTCCCGCAATGCAGCCAACATGTTCAATGTTGCCTTGATAAACATGTCAGGGGGGGGGAGACGTGGTTTGTACGTCACGGAGAAGAAAGTTTGTAAAAGTTTAAACAAGCCAAAATAATCTCATGCTCATGAGAGGACACGTTCCTTCTTCTCCTTCTTCTTCTTCTTCTTTCGTCTCGCTTTCTCTATTAACATTTGTGACTGAAGGTAGCGGAGGGAGGGAGGGGAAGAGTCGATATTGCATCACTCTGTACAGTTGGTATCTGGACCTCGCTTTCTGGCTCATATGATCGGAGGATCGACGGAGTACGGAACGCACATCCAGTGTCTGCGGACGGTACAGAAACACCTCATCACATGTCTTCATATTCTGTTTTCGGTGTGATTTTTTTGTTTGTTTGTGTTGCGTTTAATTTATAAAACAAGCATTATTACATGTGTTATAAACTATTATCGTTTGACCACACCTATTTATTCTATTAAATCCGACAGACCGAGAAATTACAGATCTGTGGACCACACAAAGAATAAAGTAGTACTGTTTTATGTTTTATTTAGTGGTTTACATGTAAAACAATTTATGTTTTGTGTTTTAGTTATGAAATGTTTTTGTTTTCTTATTTATAAAGAAACGACTTTTTGTTAAAATTTGTGTCTGGCTTCCAATACGTTTCTCGAAAAACATTTTAAAAACCAGTTTTAGTGTCCATTAATATACGAATTTCAAGATGTGCTAATGTTAGCCAGTGACCGAAATGTAATATTGGTTTTAAGTAGAAGTATATTCTCACAATTATGTAATCTTTTGAGACACTGTTTGAAGACAATTAGTCGAAACGTCTGTAGTGTCTTACACACATTAATGCAAATTCCTTACACTTCTATCAGTAACATCTGCTCTACAACGAAAGTCAATTTGTTTTATAGGAATCACAGATATGTTCTGAAGTTCTCGTCTTTGCCGTGAAATTATTGTCAACCTCATCTCTGAACCCCCAGCTCTTAAAACCATCAGGCTTACTGCAAAATGCTTTTCGAATGTTCTTTTATCGAATCCCAGAACGGTTGTCCGCCATCCACCTTGTTTCTTCACTTAACTTATAAACCTTCTGTTTCTTTTTCATATCCCGTAAAAGCCCAATGGTAACTATATGTACCACCTACTTTAACAATCAGTAACTGTGTAGTTTGTATTTATGGATTTTGCATGATTCTCGCTGTAAATAGCAATTATTCATTAAACAGTTGATATTTGTAATGGTGAAGTGTGATGTTTTCTTTGCGGTACGGACTGAATTCTTAAATAACATTTATTTCGTGCTTCGTGCTTAAGAAGTTTTGTTCTCGACACTAAGATCTGATGACTAGCGCCATTTTCCTTAGTATCTGCAGACAAACTTTGGGATAGATCTTCAACATTATAACAAAATATTTCTCATTCGACGCTGTATAAGGTGCGCAGTTAAAATAGCTCCGTTGCTTGATTTATTTAACAAAGATTATCGACGTTCGGCTGGCATTGATTCATCTCATGGCCAGATATAAATAGTGGATCCTGGTATAGGACAACAGCTGACATTCTCCAAATTTATATTGCGCGGAACGAGCCCACACAGAAAAATGTTAAAGCTGATCTAATAGCCGCTCACGAATGTTAGCTTTAATTCAGACACGAAACTCATTGCTTCTGTAATGTATCGGTAATTCAGATTACTTGATTATCGACCAATAGACGCAGCTGTGTAGTAGTAATCGGGAGGTAAGAGGATGATCTCGGTTGTGGCTAATTGTATTCTCAGAGGTTTCGTGGATTTCTTCAGACTCTTCTAACAAATTTCGTCAATAACACCTTAAAATAGGCCATGATAATTTCTAAGATTTTATTCGTAATTCGTAATTGCTTTTCGCTCAATATTTAAATTAAATAAGGTCATATTTCACTGACGTAAAATTCATAATTTTGAATATGCAGACTCGATAACAGACAAAACACTAAAAGTGTGATACAAGTTTGGTAATGAAGATTTCTGTCTTCTGGGTTGTTGCGCTGTGTAGTCTGGTCGATGTTAACCAACGTTTCAGAGGTCCTGATGACGGAGGCAGTATGACCTCTGAAACGTTGGTAAACATCAACCAGACTACACAGCGCAACAACCCAGAAGACGGAAATCTTCATACTCTGATGACGGAGGCAGTATGACCTCTGAAACGTTGGTAAACATCAACCAGACTACACAGCGCAACAACCCAGAAGACAGAAATCTTCATAATCACCGCTATGAAAACCTAAAATCTTACAAGTTTGGTAATGTTTGAAACCGTTACTGAAATACTTTCGTTGGACTTGTTACAGGAGGCCCGCGTACCATGACGGGATCGTGTGCCGTGTGCCAGGCCGTAGCGACACAGTGCTGCTCAAGCTGCCATCTTGTTTTCTACTGCAGCCGTGAACACCAGAAACAACACTGGAAGATCCACAAAACACAATGTACGCCCTACAAAGTGGAAGTCTCTGAACGACTAGGGCACCACGTCGTGGCAACGAGGGACATCCAACAGGGAGAGGTCATCATCGAGGAAGAACCAATCGTACTGGGCCCCAAAGTTCTGTCTCTACCTCTTTGTCTCGGTTGTGGACGCCGGATTAAGGTCATCGAAGGAGAAGAAGTGTATAAATGCAGTGGCTGTGGTTGGCCGTTGTGTGGATCCCATTGCGAAACATCACCATTCCATGTACCCGAATGTAATCTGATGAAAGAGAGGGGATTTCGTGCCGACATAAATTTGAAAGAAGACAAAAAGGAAGCTGCATATTGTAGCATAACGCCACTGAGATGTCTTCTGCTGAAGAAGCATGACCAGAGTAAATACGAGGGAATCGTGAAGATGCAGTCGCATTTGAAAGAAAGGAGAGACACGCCTCTGTATAACATTTTCAAAAACAATGTTGTCGGTTTCCTTAGAAACGCGCTTGGGATGACAGAATTCAGCGAGGAGACAATTCTGAGAATTACAGCTATTTTAGACACAAACTCATTTGAGATTCGCAGGTCGGAAGGTGACATCAAAGTCAGGGGTTTGTATTCTAAAGCTGCGATGTTATCACACGACTGTAAACCAAACACCAAACATTTCTTCAGAGGACCAAAATATACTTTAAAATTAGTTTCTACGGTTCCAATCAAAAAAGGAGAAATAATCTGTGTTACTTATACACAGACTCTTTGGGGGACCCTAGAAAGAAGGGCTCATCTTAAGCAATCAAAGTGTTTTGATTGTACCTGTTTAAGATGTTCTGATGCAACTGAACTGGGTACTTATATAGGAGCTATAAATTGTTCCCAGTGCAAGAAATCTGGTGGAAAGAGGAACGATAAACTTATTTCAACGAGTCCTTTAGAACCTTCAGCGCCGTGGAAATGTGAAGTCTGTTCGCATACGATTCCTGGCCGACAAATGGCTTGGGGAAACGACGCAATAAGACGGGAAATTTCGGCTTTGGATAAAAGTAAACCCCAGGGTTTGGAGGATTTTCTGGACAAGTACAAAGGCGCTCTGCATCCCGCAAACGGGCATATTCTTGAGGTTAAATATGCCCTGTCCCAAATGTATGGGAATATGCAAGGTTTCTTGCTCTCCGGTGAGTAATATTTCTAAGCTTGTGGTCTGCGGGTCAGTGGCTCGGAATGTAGTCGACTGGCAGGCCTATTTTTAAAACTGTTGTGCTATAAAGACATGAATGACCAATTAAAACGTGTTCTTCTTCACAGAACTGCCGGATAGGCTGTTGGAGAGGAAGATAAACTTGTGTACCGAGCTTCTAGAAATCGCAGACGTCTTAGATCCTGGTTCAACAAGATTACGCGGTGTCCTGCTTTACGACTTGCAGGCTACCATGGTCGTTCAGGCGAAACGCGATTTGGCCAGTGACAAGATCACGAAGGCTGCTGCTCAAGTAAGCACGTGTGCATGTTTGTACAAATCGAAGTTACATCACTGAACCTTTTTGGCAGGAGTCTATTTATTTTTCACAAACGTAAACTATGCCAAAACAAGACCCGAAGGTTCATCACCGCTACAATAAAATCCTGCCTTTGGTCTCGATATCGATCCAGCTTAATCAAACTCCCACACTCACAACTCTTTATCTAACATCTATATTAGTGTTATCCTTCCGCATTTTTTGTAGGTTGCCCCACTAACGATCTGTATACAATCCTTGTTTCCCCCGTCTGAATGCTACATAAATTCTCATAAATGGTCACTATTTAAAAGGAAATTCATATATAAACTCATACATGATGCCCATCCTCCTTTAATCATCTAAAGCCCAGTGGTAACTATATGTACCACCTGGTTTAACAATCAGTAACTCTGTTCATTTAATATGCGTTTCATATGATTCCCAGAATAAACAGCGATTATTTCCTTATACAGCTTTAACCAATTAATCTTTGTAGCGGTGAAGAGTTGTTTTCTTTTAGGTACGGGCTGAATTTTTAAATAATATTTAGACGTGTTTCGGCTTCAGAGACTGGTGAGCTGAAAAGGACGTGGAACGTAGCAGATGTACTAACATGATACGTTGTCTATTGTAAATAAGGGTAATGTCTATTTCAGGATATTATGGGGGAATCCATGACACTACTACAGCTAGCAGCGGAGATTCTGAAAACAGAGGATGACATGGCCCATCTTCTGCAGGATAAACTTGCCAACTTATCAAAAGAACTGGAATGTGATTCATAAAAATAACTTCATCATCACTGTTTGACCAGTGTTTACAACTTAAAACTATGTGTCACCTAGTGATTATTACATAAAATAAGGCGCAAACAATTATGATCCACCTCTGGTGTCCCCTTATATGTCAATGGTAAATATCTGTTAACACCTGTTTTAAACTTCAAGAACTCTGCTCATTTCTACGTATTTTGCTTTTGTGTTTCGTTTGTTTGTTTTTAACAAACAGCGACTGCTTTCATAAACTAAATGACTATTGTACGTCTTTTTATGCAAACCGAAATTAATAAGTATGACGGTGGAGTATCACCCCACCAAAATGATTTACAGTACACGAAAAATAGCGGATGAGTAGTTATTTCCAAGCTCGTGGCTTCTATTATCCTTGAAGCGGACTGTACTCAATGGGATTTGTCGTTACCTTCCTCAGAGACTCCAGCAAACTTCTGAGATGGTAGTTAAATATGAGACAACCGTTTACTTTCCAATACATCAATCATAACGCCATTCAACACAAAATATGTATTTTGAAATAACGCCGTTTAATAGCCCAAGATACAAACAATCAATCAATCAATCAATCACATTGTAACTTTGTCGCTGTTGTGGTAATTACAGTGGCAGTGAGGAGCAGAGAACATTGCAGGATAGTTAATAAGAAAGAATGCATAGATTGCTCATATCTGATTGGTACTAAGGTTCGTTTATTACAAAAATAAATATTATTTAAAGACTTTTTTCGTTAAATATGCCTTAGATCTTAATCAAAAATATATATTTTATGCCATGTACTAATTTCATTTTTCCGATGGACAGTTTTTTTTTTAATAAGGGGTTATACTCCACAAATTCACAAAGCTGACGAACGTAATGAGAGGACATTGCGAAAATAGGCCCACTGTAGAAAAGGTAAAGTGGTCCCTGGTACTTAAGTAAGTCATGCAGTCGTGTGGGGGAGTGGAGGAGATATTCTTAACTTCGGCACGTGGTCAACCTTACGCCGACAATTACGGGGGGGGAAATCCCGTTACCCATTCGACTGGAGGCTGTGTGGGGCCCAGAGCGGGTCTCGACGTTGTGACGAAGAAGGAAATCCTACCCTGCCGTCCAGCCTGTGACCTAGACACTATATTGGCTGGGGTACCACGTATCAGAAAATGAAATATGATCGAAAATGGCGGATAAAAAGGAAGTATGTCAGGGAAGTCAGCAAGGAGGAAGACCAAGAGGGATACACAGATAAAATTCATAAGAAGGCCTTCAGAGGGCGAACTATCCGTGTTCCGCGTCTAGCTCTTCATTTGTCCCGGTGAGCTGAACCAGTGGTTCGCGGAGGCGCTCTTAAGGAAGAGGTTTCTAGGTTCAAGCCTGTCCATTGGCGGTCGAGGTGTGCGCAGTACAGGCTCAGCAACCGAAGTCCCGAACAGCCATCGGGCAAGAGCTGATGTCCGGAACGCGCGCCGGAAGTTTTCGTTCGTGAGGCCGTAGATAATGGGATCCGTTGCAGCATTGACGATTATCAAGTAGTGGGAGACGAACCACAGTGTGTTGTAAGCATCCACAACCTGCAGGGGGAGTGAATTTCACCGTGGAACGATTATGCCTTGTCCGTGCCACGAACGAGAATACTCTGCCCAGATGTTTTATCTACGTTTTCGTGGGATGTTACGCACAAACATGAGATGAGTTATTTCGTTCATAGTAAGGAAATGTTAAGACTAACCTGGTTGATGGTCTGAGTGCCCTCATGAAGGTCGGCCCTCAGAAAAATAAGGGCCGTGAAAGGCACGCGACAAAGCACGAAAACCACGACGACGACGAACAGCGTGCGCGCGACCTTCGTCTTGTAGCTCACACTGATAGGATGCTCCCGGCGAAGAACCTTTCTCTCGTACCGGTCCAGCTGTAAAATCAAGCGAGTCTGAATTTTACAGATTATTACCCGGTTCGAATCTGGTATGAGCTCACTGTCACGTGAACGGCTATCAGATTTTTTTGGAGGTAAAAATGGAAAATTTTAGACATTCAATTGAATATGAAATCGTAAGAACTGAGGTTGGATTCGGAGCAAACAAACTAATGCAATTATGATGGTAATCGTAGGGGCACGTCGTGAACTTGCCTTGAAGAAAAGGGCCGAGTAGCACAGAATCATGAGAATTAGGGGTAGCCAAACGACGAACAGGATGACCACGTACCAATAGACAGACATCACTGCCCTTTCTTCAGTGCAGTAAGTCTCGTTGAAATTCTTCCACTTTCTTTCCTATGGAAAAGAAACACAACCCAGAAGACAGAAATCTTCAAACACGACGTTGTTTAATGACGCTGTTCCATCTGCAGGACATGAGACGGGGGAGAGGATCGTGGAAGAAAACAGTGGCCTATTTTAAAATTCTACTTAGATATTCGCCTCGAAGGACTGAGTAAAACTAAGGAGAACTTCCGTCAAGACAGCGGGCAAGTCGTTCAAGATAATCGTTATCATTTGTTTATATTCGTAAACTATAGTTTGCAAAAACTTTCGAGAGCAACTCGCCACATGGGACTAAATTTGAGGAGGAGACTGGTAGAGAGTACGTAATTGGAGTATCAAGTTCTTCTAACATAACCTCAACGTTTTCGCAACACTGCCATGTTCGTAGTTGCTAGCGGATGAAAAATACACATCACATAAAGTCTGTAAGTATATTCTAATGTTCTAGACCAGAGATATTCAACCTTTTTTGTTCGCGTACCCCCAGATATAATTTCTCTTCAACTTTGTACTCCCAAAGTTCTTGGTGTATAATTCGAGTTATACGTAGTATATAATCTACATCTAAAATCAATTAAATAAATTACATTACTGATTATTCAGTGTTTATCATAAAAAAAAATTAAAATTTCACGTACCCCCTAAGATGTCTTCGCGTACCCCAGGTTGAATACCATTGGTTTAGACTAAGTTTTTTTTAACTAATAGTGGTAAACCTTCAGGGTTTATTACCCGAGATTTGAGCAGATAGTTCGTTAGGTAATTAGTCTGTAAGTAAGTCGGTTAGTTAGATGGCTGTATTTTATTTAGTGTTCTGTCTGACGACAGGTCCATATGAACAGGATCCTTCCATCCTTTTCTCGGACTGGGACCTGTTCATATACGTTCTTGGCAGATGATCCAGAAGTGGTTTGCCATTGCCTTCTTCTGTGTGTGAATGGAGTAATTGTTGGGATGCCACGGAGGAAAACTCCGTGTTGCCTAGACCACGGCCTTGCCCAACACAAGTTATAAATTCGGGCACCGCCGGGAATCGAACCCGAGACCCGGATGCATAACTAGGTATATACGTAGATAGACAATTAATCAGTTAGTTAGTTAGTCAAATTGATCAGTTAATAACAAAATCAGTCGGTTAGATAGTTAGTCCAAAATGGTACCAAATTTTTAATGGAGAATGATCTATCACTTTACACAGAACAGAAAATACACGTTGCTTTTCAAAGAAAAGCGTGTATCGTAGGTTCTCCCAGTAACTTCTTATTCTGAATCTGACCCTGTAAATGCGGAAAAAGACAAGCGGCAGGCCGAGGATCACACCCGTCACCCAAGTGAACGCCATGACAATATGTGCCCCGTGGACTGTCATCCGGGCTTCCAGGGGCGTCACTATGGCCGTCAGTCTGTCGTAGCTCACGGCCACCAGATTAAGAACTCCGGTGAACAGAAGCGAACCTAAACACATTATCATCATTAAATATATTTGATGAAATCAAAAGCGTCTTTGGTCGAAAGGTAATTCAGAACCTTCAGATACGACTCTAAATTCAAATAATATTATCGAACGCCAAGAATTTAGTGGGTCTGGGAGTTTGACGGCGGCGGTCGATTGTGGCCTTCTGAATTGTGACGCCATGTTGTTTTGTACGTAGTTACTAATGACCCTGAAGATGGAGGCGTTAAGCCGAAACGTTGATAACTACCTACAAGACTACACGGTATCATAAACTCACAAACTACATTCTACATAAGAAATATATATTTTGTGAGGTTTGATGTTAATACCAGCGACAAAGGAATGTTATTAATCTAATTGGCTTTGAATTCATCCATTGGGAAAATTCTATAATATTCTACAGTATAAATAAAGTTGTCATAGTTCTATACCGTCCCTCCTTCTCTGCTAATGATTTCAATCCAGCCCAAAAAACATTCCTGGCTTACCAAAGATAATAGTTTTGTTAAACATTTATCAAAAATTGGTCCCCATAAAGTGGCCAAAAGAAAAACACATTTCAAGACAAATTCATAACTTAATGTTAACGTTTACTGTGTCTTTTATTTGAGTAAATCCGAAACAGTTATACGAGAATGCGTAACAAAACATCTCCCATTTAGTCGACTGAGTAAAATAGGAAACATTTTTTTACTCACACTCAAGAAATCCTTGCGCCTTGCAGCCAACCTCGCCCAGTATGTAGTTCTGAAAGCAGTCCATGCAAATGAACACCCAGGGTAGAATTATAAGGGTCGCCAGGTCGGCGACGGCCATGTTGGCGATCAGTAAGTTCGTCGGGGTTCGCATTGAGCGATTGCGCAGAACAGCGCTGAGCAATAGAACGTTACCCACAATTCCCAGGATCACCACGGCGATGGACGCCGCTGTCTTAACTCCAATTTCCCAATCCGCTTTTTGTATCCATATCTCATTGGGGAAGAAGTGTTTATTGTAGTCAAACTGTTAACAGGAAAGGTTACGTCCTTTGAAGCCGAATATCAGCTAAATAATATTTTTTTTTCTTCACTATAACGTGCTTGCCCCCCCCCCAAAAAAAAATTAGTTGCCATGACTTTTGAAGTAACCCTCGTACAATAATTCAGTCCGCACCGCAAAGAGAACACACCACTTTGCCATTGCAAAGATCAACCTTTTAACTTTGCTTAGGGAATTATCGCTTTTTACAGCGCTAATCATACAAAATCTATAAATACAAATAAATAATTATTGATTGTTGAAGCAGGTGGTATTTGAAGGATTAATGTGGCAAATTGATTAGGACATGGTACGAGCAGCCTGCTAACACTGGACGTCTCATTTGTTTCTTTGTTATCTCGGATTACTGCAACAAAAGTGAGTCACTTATATTCTGTTTTCATTTTGACTATTTGTTGTTTAACTACGCTGTAACTAGTCCCAGTGATAGAATGATTAATAAATATTTAATCGAAAAAAATATGTAAAGAATTGATAATGACATAATTAAAGATATTCTGCCGAATTTTGCCTCAAGAGGCTGATGATAACCACGAAAACGTTCAGTCAGGATAGTTAGTCTCCGAGCCGAGGTCTGAACCCGGAATATCCCAAGTTGACGTGATAACTACACTGCCGAGAGTTTCAGTTCCCGGCATTCAACAGCGAATGTCATTTATTGCTTTTGATAAAAATGCGTAATTTATGTTAAGCTAAACTCGTGGACTACATGGGGGAAAAAAAACACTTTGAAAACTATAAACATTTGTCGAAAGAAACATATTTTGGTTTTGATGACAATATTCGGTACTTTAATTCCTAATATGTTCTCATGAGCACCGTATTTGAAAACATATCGATATTATTTCTGTTATTTGAGTATCGATGCGTCGAAAGTTCCCCCCCCCCCTTCAGCTGCCAAATTCTTTGATTGTAGCTATGGTTTACTTACGTTGTCGTAAGTATTGTTCTGGGACATGATAATATGGCATCCAGCTCGAATATCCACCTCCACGTCATACGACTTTCCATCACTGAAGTTGAAATTCCCTTCTGGAGTAGATGGCTCAGACGTGTAATCGGAACTGCAGTTGGTATCGTTCGTTACGCTCATGTGCACACACATGTCAGACACCTTGAACACAGACTGACTGATCACCACTCTTCACACCTCACACCGTTCACAAAGTGATCTGAGAACGAAGAACACAAGTCGTATTTTCCTTGCAAACAGCTCGAAACACATACGTAAATTTTTAATCTTTTAAAACCGAAATACGTCTAAATAATGTTTAAGAATTCAGTCCGTACCACAAAGAAAACACGACACTTCATCATTACAAAGATCAAATTTTTAATTCTGTTTACGAAAACAATCCCTGTTTACACCGTAAAGAAAACACGACACTTCATCATTACAGATATCAAAATTTTAATGTTGTTTACGAAAACAATCCCTGTTTATACCGAGAATCATATGAATCTCACATTAAAAAAAGCAAATGGCAGCATGGAAAAGCTAAAACGAAGCGACTTTTAAATTGGAGCAGACGAACGACGTAATTAACAAATGCTCATAAACATTTG